GAATCGACAGCATCACATGTACTACATACGGCATCTCTGTATGTTTCCAAACATTCGACAGTCAAAGCAGAGATCGAATGTAACAAACCTGCAAGGTTTTCTGTTAAAGAATCGACAGCTGTCGCTATTCTTCTAGCATCTGCTTCCAACTCGTTTAATACTGTAGGATCTAAAGGTGGTAAATTAGGTTCTAGCGTTTGCCTATATAGACAAGATGAAGGACTTTTTATGCTTCCTTCCCCTGATCCTAAAGAACTTTCAACTTTAGATATAGGACTAGATAATTTTATTTTATTTTCTAAATCTTCTGAAAAAAACATAACCATATCTCCATCACGTTCCACCGTTCCATCTTTATGTAAAAATTCAAGAATTTTTGGATCACTTTGAAGATCTAAATTTTTAGGCCTGCTGCTACTCGTGTTCGATGTTTTTTGAAATGGAACGGTAAAAATATCAGTATCTTTAATAGATTCATTGGAACCAACGGATATTTCGGAGTAAGATTGAGTCATTTCTTGAATTTGTAGTGAATCTTCCACATCTGGTTTTCCGACAGCAGAATCTTCTGCTAATAAAACATTAAATTAAAATTTTATGATAAGTACGTTAACAAGTATTGAAAAAAGTTGTCGAAAAACTTGCATTTATATTTTAATAATAATAATGAAATTAATTTTATTTTTTAAATTAATAATAAACCAACCTTCATTAGACTCCATAATTTTAATTAATTTATTTTTTACTAAACTATTAATTTAAAAAAAAAAAAAAATGTTAAAAAAATAATCAATACTAATACGTTTAATTTAATATTTTTTAAAGAATGTCGTGGCAGCAAATGGTAATTAGAATTTTACCTGATAAGAAAAAGCAACTTAACCTTACGTCAGGTAAAATAAACACTGCTAAAAATGTCAAGTTTTTTTATAGAATTTTTGCTTTTATGAAATTATTTGATTTTAAAAAATTATTAAAAACGAAATGTCTCATAATACTGATATTAGCAAATATTTTAGTAAATCAAAAAATGATAAATTCGAAGAGTTTTTTGATCAAATTCCAAATTCTGAATCAAACAATTCACTAGGAACAGAAGTTACAGATAAAACAGTTAAAAATATGACAGTAAATGATGAAGATGAACCAATGGTTTGTAAATTGTTTCAAAGTATAGATACTACAGCTAAAAGTAATGAATCTAATTCTAGCAATTTTTTTGATGTTTTATCAGAAACAACAGGTTTGCTATTCTTATAAATTGTTACACTTATTTATTTTTAAGAAAAATCACAAGGTTTTGATTTTCATTTTAGGTGGCAATGTACTTTCTTTAAATTCTGGTAATTCAAAATTATTGTCTAGTGAAAATGTTTTAGATTCTGTAAGTTTTTCACAATATTACTTTTTTAACAGTTCAAAAGATGTATATGGAAATTGTATTAATGAAATATTTTGTAGCTTACAAATCTGGAAGAAAGTTTCAGCAATTCTGGACACATAAGTGAAGCTGAAAGAAGCAGGGATGCTTGGATTCCTCCTGAGCAAACTCGAAAAATTTTGATTGAAATGGTTACTTCTCCTCCTGGGTCATATGTTCCTAAGAGAGAAAATTTAACTATGCCTGGAGTGATTTTGGAAGAAGATATGGTAATCAAATTATATTTGTTAAAATAACAATTTTGTTATTTATGTTAGATTTTTGAAAATTATTTAACTTATAGAGATGCAAAACTTTCTTTTTTTGCAATACTACATTGTGTTTCTTTCTATTTCCGATTTAAAAGTCACACATTTTTCAATTAATTTTAATATTTTTGTTACAGAAAGATCCTGTTTATGAAGCAGTTCATTATTATTTAGGTCCAAATGAAGCTGCTAAAAGAAAAGTACTGTCTGCTGCTGAAGTAACACAAGATGACAGAGGGATAAGGGAACTCATACAAGCCGGTTGCTACACATCTGCTGTAAATTTAACAAAACAATTGCTTACAATTTATGGTCAAGGAGCTGGTAGAGCTGGACATCTTAGTAAACACACAGTACATAGCATACAAGTAAATCACAACATTTGCTTAAGTAATTTTATCAATCGCTGTAAAAAAAAAAAAAGCATTAAACAAATTTATAATTGTTTTTTAGTTATGGTTTACTAGACTATCACTTTTAGTAAAACTTCGTTCATTTACTGTCGCACAAAAGGAATCAGAGCCATTTGGAGATTTAGAAAAGCCTGACATGTTTTTTCAATTTTATCCTGAATTATATGGAGGTAGATCTGGGTCAATGGTACCTTTTAGTCTGCGCTTACTTGTCGCACAACTTCCTGCTCATGTTAAAAAGCATCAATTAGCATTATCAAAATTGAGTGCAATTTTATCTACAGTTCGAAAGGTGATTCAATGAAGTTTGTTTTTCCTGTAATGAAATTAAATTATTTGTTTTGAAAGTTGACTAGATTGTATTTTTAAATAAATTTTTCAGATGTTGGCAAATTTAAAAAAGGACTTACTCGAAGATGGAACTCCTTGCGAATTAAATCCTGCTGACAGAGAAGTTTCTATTAAATTTTGGTCAGGAAGAGAATCTCGAGTGTTGCATTCTATTGTGAACACAGCTTTGTTGGACAAAGTATGAATTCTTCAGTCTCCACATATTTACTTTCGTTAAACAAAAACTTTTAAATTGAAAATTATTATTTTTGACAGGACTACACGTTAGCTATCGAAGTCATGCAAGAACTTATAGCTAAAGAACAAGATGTGAATGCTATAAAATCCTTACAGTCTGCATTAGGTAGAATTTTTCTTCAGTTGGGTGATGTTAAATCAGCTGAAAAACTCTTCGCTTCTGCACACCTCGGGTACTCCTGAAAAAAAAAAAAAAAGAAAAAAATTAATGTAATTGATGTTCAAAAATAATTTTACTCTTGTTTTTACATTTTACTTTCGTTTACAGGTTAGATAAACCCAAACTAAGAGATCTGATAGATTCTGGATTATTTTTATTGACTCAAAACGATTTTGAAAAAGCTTATGTAATGTTTGAAAAAGCTTACCAATTGGATCCTCACAGTATTACCGTAAGTTACGTTCATACAGTCACGTGACTTTAATTTAAACTTTTTTTTCCAAAAAAACGTTACGTACCTTGAAATCCGTTTTCCATCAGGCGATTATTATCTCGTTACAGGCTGTCAACAACATGTCGGTTTGCCAGTTGTACTCTGGAAAATTAAAGGAAGCCATTCTTTTGCTGGAAGAAGCTCTGCAAAAATATCCGACTCTGGCGATACACGAAAGTTTACTTTTAAATTTGTGCACGTTATACGAATTGCAAAGTACATTTTGGTCACAGCCCAAATTGAAATTATTGTCTTTGGTCAATCAGTACAAAGGCGATGGTTTCAATATAGGCTGTTTGAAATTGCAAATGTGATAATTATTGAAAGTCATGATGATGATGATGATGATGATGATAATAATAATAATCAATGCTTACAAAAAAAAGTATTTATCATAATCAAACTGAAAATGTTAAAAATGTTTTCTTAGTTTAAATTATGAGATTGCATTTAATAGATTACAAACAAAAAAAAAAAAAAAACAAAATAAAATTATTTATTTTTTATTTGATATAAAAGTTATTAATTAATTGTTATAAATAAAATCAATTTATTGTAAAAAAAAAAAAGGAAAGTTTTTACGTCATTACATCTTGAATAACACTTGGGAAAAAATTTTTCTTATTAATTAATTACCATTAATTATTATTATTATTATTATTATTACGGTTAAATTATCGTAAATCATTAACGAAGGTATTATGAGATTAAGAAAATTTTAATTTAACAAAAAAAAAATTTCAAATTTTTTTTTTTTTTTGGAATTGATTACTTTGTCATTGAAAATTTAAAAAAAAAAAAAAAAAAAAAAAGAAGCAAATTATTCAATGGTGTTAATAATTGTTTGAGTAAATAATTATTATTATTGTCACATGTTCTATTATTGGTTATTTAATGAAAAACACGGTATTAATAAATAGTAAAGCGTTATTTAAAAAAAAAAAAGAAACATTTAACAAAGTGAAGCGGGAATAAAAAAACAAGATGGTGACGTTTGGTAATTCTTATAAATCAATTAAAAACGTAGCCAGAGAATTTTTAGCCGAATTTATTGGAACGTTTCTTTTAGTCGTAAGATTTTTTTTTTTTAATATAAAATAAATAAATTTTAAAAATTAATTTTCAAACGAGTTATATTTTAGTTTATGGGAAATAGTGCCGTTGCTCAAACAACTCTAACGGATGGTACCGGAGGAAATAACATAACAATATATTTTGGATACGGTTTCGGTTTATTTTTGGGAGTGTCTGTCGCAGGAGGAATTTCAGGTTTTTTACACACAACACAACTATCATCATCATCATCATTATTATTATTATTAAAAAGAATGCATTTTTAATTCGTTTATTTTTAGGTGGACATTTAAATCCGGCTGTTTCCGTTGCGGCGGCAATTGTAAAAAAATTTAAATGGCGTAAAATACCACATTATATTCTTGCACAATATTTGGGAGCTTTTCTCGGTGCCTGCATAACTTATTTATTATACATTGGTAAGAGTAATTAATTACTTTAATATCCTTATCATAATTCTTATCATTAATTAAAGTATCGATTTTTTCCAGATTCGTTTAAAGCTTTTCATTCGGATTATGGAATAAATAAAACCACGGCTGGAATTTTCGCGACTTATCCAAAAAATGATTTATCCGTTATTGGATCCTTTATCGATCAGGTTTATTCGATTTAATCGAAGTTTAGGTTTTAAAAGAAAAGAAATAAAGTTAAAATTAATCAATACGTTATTAGATTTTAGGATCCATGATACTTGTTCTCGGTATAAACGCCATCACGGATCCATTTAATAAAATTCCATCGTATTTGGTACCAATTTACGTATCATTAACGTTAATTAGCATCGCATGTTCTTTGGGAATAAATCAAGGTTTTGCCATTAACCCAGCTCGTGATTTATCACCGAGATTTTTTACTTACATAACCGATTGGGGATCGGATGTATTCGAGTAATTAATTACCAATCAATCGATCAATCGATTCACAAAAGGAAATTAATTGATTGATTTTATTTTTTCAGTTCTTCCAGTTATTGGTACGTGACAATTATAGGTTCACACGTTGGTGCTATTTTAGGAGCTGTGATTTATATGTTAATTGTTGAAAAAATGAGATTGATACGGGAAAATCCGACGGAAATGATACAATCAAATGTTACGATAATAAAAAATAAACCCTGTGAGCATTATTAAATAAATAAATAAATAAATAAATAATTTATTAATTAATTAAATAAATAAATAAGTTATTCATTTTTTTTTTGTAGGTGATACTAATAAAGCAGACGATTATTTTTATCGTTTTTAAAGGCTTAAAATATATATGTGTAATTAAAAATATTGATATTTTGCGTTAAATAATAATAATAATAATTAATTTTTTTTTTTGATTACATAAATAATTATTTTATGTTAATTAATAAATCGATACTTATTCCTTATCCGTAGCTTTATGTGTACCTACTTGTTGAGTTTTATTTTTTTTATCATCTTCGAAAACTTCATCGTAGGTTTCCATTTCCGCGGACGATGATGAGGATTCACAATCGACATCTTCGATTTCCATTATCGTAGCAGCATCCTCAGGTTTGAAATGTTGAATTCCATCGGCTCCCATTTTAAAACAATCGAAATGTAAAACTAATACAGGTGCGGATATGATACGGGTTTCAAAATCAACGCACATGAATAAATTGTAACCGGAAGTTTGAATGTTGTAAAATTTCACGCATAGGTTAACAAGTGCAGAAAATGGAAGTGGTAGGGGTGCTGGAACACATGCAGGGGGTGGATTTTTTCCAGAAATTTTATGACTGAATAGCGAATTGTTATTCATTTTCAATTCGACACCGAGTGATAATTCTTTTGCCTCGTAAGCCATATTCAAACAAAATTCTCGTTTGAAACCGACGAAGGAAACATTAACACCAGCACAACATGAACATTTTAAATCTTGACAAGAACATGGTGTCGGACCAAATCCGATTCTTAATAATCTTTTTAACAATTTAAGATTTTCTACTTTCGAACTATTACTATCAATGGCGTCGATTGTTTTATTCGTATTTACATTATAATATATTTTCCATTCCGGTTGTATTGAAAATTTTCTTTTTTTTTCTTCTGTATTATATAAAAAAAAAAAAAAAAACATTTTCATATACATTTAAATAATAATAATAATAATAATTTTTTTTTATTAATTATAAAAAAGATTATACGTACCTAAAGTTGAAGAAACCGTCGCTATTAAAATACCTAAAAAAAATAAAATACACAAAAATGATGTTGTTGATGATGACATCTTTAGTCTATCTTTTCCCGATTTCAACTGCGGCAAGTTGTTTTGTTTAAAAATATAAATAATATTAATAATAATAAAAAGTCAAATAAAATTTTTTTATTTTAACTCGGGTCGTTAAACCATTTCTCTAATAAATGGAATAAAAAAAAAAAAAAAAAAAAAAAAAAAAAAAAAAACTCGTTTTTGAAGTTGAAGAAAGGTATATATGGTAAAAGGTAACCGTTTTATGTCAATCTATTCTTTTTTTTTTTTTTTTATTCAATTGATATTTGTGTGTTATATATCGATTAATCATTTATTCCCCCCCTTCCCCACCTCCCCCCTTATTATGTGACAGATGATGATGATGATGATGACTTTTATTTTTACGCATGTTTGTCTGTAACAAACAAAAATTTTATTATCAGGTCTCGACGAATACAAATTAATTAATTATTATTATATATATTATTTTAAATGATAATAATAATAATACTTATTTCATTGAAAGAATATCGATATATCGTTGTTGTTTTTCTTTTCCTTCGATTTTAAAATTAAATCGTGAAAAAAAAAAAATGGCAATAACAAATTTATTACAAATTTTTCCTTTAAACCGTGTAAAATACAAAAAGAAAATTTTTTTTTATTCCTGCCCCCCCACATTTTTCCTTTTTTTTTTTTCATTTTTGTATTGATTTATTATTTTTCTGTTGTAAAATTTTTATTTCTATTTAAAATGTAATTAAAAATTAATTTTTATGTTCGGTTAAATAAAAAACAAAACAAAAACACGTTTTCCCAATTGTTTTTTTTAAAAACTTTTTTAATTACTTTTTGGTTCGTTAAAAATTAAAAGTTTTCTGATATTTTTTTTTTTATTACGAAAAAATAACTTACGTAAGCATAACAATAAATAAATTAATAAATAAATATTTAATGTTTAAAAAAAAAAAAAAAATTAATTGGTTTTCTATGAATATTCGATTGGTTAAATACAATAAAATGCTTTTAAAAAATAATAATGATTAATTGTTAACGTTAAACGTTATTTTCCGTCGTAGAATTAGAGGAAACTTTAGTGGCGGTGGTGGCAGCAGTGGTAGCAGCATTGGCGGTGGCAGCATTGGCGGTGGCAGCATTGGTGGTGGCAGCATTGGCGGTGGCAGCATTGGCGGTGGCAGCATTGGTGGCGGCAGCATTGTGTGCGGTGGCAGCATTGGCGGGTGGCAGCATTGGTGGCGGCAGCATTGTGTGCGGCGGCATTGGTGGCAGCAGTGGTGGCAGCATTGTGTGCGGCAGCAGCGATGGTGGCTGCATTGGTGGTGGCAGCATTGTGTGCGGCAGCAGCGATGGTGGCTGCATTGGTGGTGGCAGCATTGTGTGCGGCAGCAGCGATGGTGGCTGCATTGGTGGTGGCAGCATTGTGTGCGGCAGCATTGGTGGCAACATTGATGGCGGCAGCAGTAGTGGTGGCAGCCGTGGTGGTGGTGGTAGTAGTAGGTTTTTTAACAGGTTTCGGAGTACTCGTCTTGTTTTTATTTGGTTTATTCGTTTGATTTTCAATTAGCTCATCGTAATCTTCAATATTGTCAACTTCTTGATCAATTGGATGCGGTAATCCTCCGCCATCTTCAGCGGAAACCAAAGCAACACCGTTCAAACCGAGTCTTAAACAATCTAAATTAAATGAGAAAACAGTTCTCTTGTTCCATTCCGTTTCCAACGTTGCACACGCATGAATGTTTCTATTTATTATGTAAACGTTTGTAAATTTAACGCAAAATTTTATGTTTGTAAATCTTGGAACGGTCAAACACAAAGGCGGTGGATTTTTTCCTGTCGATAATAAATACAATCGTTGGATCATACCTGAAATTTTCTTTTTTTTTTATAACAACAACAATTTCACTTACCTGAAACTCTGTTGCTTAATAAAACGATATCGTTGAAAGACATTTTGACACCAATTGCAAGATCTTCAGGTTCGTACGTCATGTTTATACAGAGATGCTGTCGTATGTTTATGTTAAAATTTTGCATTATTATTCCTGTACAACACCCGCACTCACCCTCCAAACACTGACAGGGCATTTTAACTTCGCGAAGTTGTGTTACATTATTTCCCTTAAATATTTCTAATTTTTTATTATGCGATTCCCTTAGTTCCTGTCGCGTACCTGAAATTATTATTATTATTTGCTTCTGTACATATCTCAGCATCATTAAAAAAAATGTTTTAAAATGTAATGAGAATAAATTTATCTAGGTCATTTTTTGATAACTTACCGGTACTCGAATATTCCGTTGATGACGACGACGACGACGACGATAATGATGATGATGATGCAAATTTTCCACCGTTAACTACAATTAATAAAAAAAAATTTAAAAAAAACCACATTGTTTTTTGTTTATTAAAAATAATAATAACAACAACGAATTGTTCAGAAGGATGATGTACATATACTGATCGAAATGAAAATAATAATAATAATAATAATTTTTTCCCTACCGAAAAAGAAAGTAGATTTTTTTTTTTTTTAATTAAAGTAAATAGAAATCATTTACGACATTAAAAAAAAACATGTTCCTATGAATAAAAAAAAAAAAATTTAAATATTAATTTAAAACGTTAAATAACAGAAGAGAAAATCTCTTGTAAAAAAAAAAAAAAAAAAAAATAATAATAATAATAATAATAATAATAATCAATCAAACGGAAGTTAAGCATTATATTTATATATATAGAAATCGTTTTTTTTTTCGAAAACGATTCGATTAATCTGTCTGACCTAAAAATTATTATTATTATTATCATTATTATTATTATTATTAAATTAAAATTTTTTTCCCTGCGACGTCATTATGTTTACGTATACGTTAAAACAAATTCGATCAATCATTTTCGGGAATACAAAATTTAAATGAAGAAGGAAGAACGACAGGAAGATAAAAAATGTCGCAATAACAACAAAAACAACAAGAAAATTGATTATAAAAATAATAAATTTTTATTTTTTTAAATAAAAAACTTATGGAAGACATTTTTTTTTTTATTTTTAAAGAGAGAAACCCCCCCCGCCCCCCGAAACCAAAAAAAACGGATCCGAGCCAATAACGGATAAATTTAAAAAAAAAAAAGTCTGTAATGTGGAATTTCGTAAAAAAAAAAAAACCGTTATAATAAATATTTATTAATTTTTAGTAGTAGTAGTAGTTGTAGTGGTAGTAGTGGTAGTAGAATATGTCATAGGTTAATACTAAAAAATTGGGCACTAGATAAATAATAAAAATTGAGCAAAAAAAAATTAATTAATTAATTAATTAAACGTTTTTTTTTTTTTTTTTTTTTTTTGTAAAAAATGTCGGAAATGATGAGTTATAATTATTATTAAAGATTTTTTAATAAAAGCACTCGTTTATAAAAATAAATTACTAATAGTCTTAAAAATATACAAATAAATAATAATAATAATTATTTTAATTACAATTAATAAATAAAATCAAAAACCTAATAATAACCTATCCAGGTTCATCCTTCTGTGCGTTCTACTTGTACTTATGAGTTTATCATCATTATCTGGAGGTTTTATGTATTTTTTAGGTTGTATGAGATATTCACTTAATTTTAATAATTTTGGAGTGTTTAGGGTTTTTATTGGTTTCTTCTTCCCCCCCGAAGACGACGAAGACAGACGTAGTAAGGATGGTGGTGGCGATGGCGATGGCGATGGCGATGGTGATGGTGGTGGCGATTTAAAATTTTTCTTTCCTTTAATTTTACGACCGTTGAAATCATTTTCTTCATCTTCGGAATCTTCAATATCTAAATCATCTTGATCTTCACCCAAATCTTCACCTTCTTCGTATTTATCGCTTAGGGATGCTATAAGGGTGTGTTTAACATTTTTTTCATCAGATTCTTCTTCGCTGCTGGTATCCTCGTCTTCGGCATCGTTCGATTGTTCTTCGCTTGTTTGTTTGTTCGGATTTTCCTCTTGGATTTGAGTTTTTGTTATTTGATTGTAGGGTATTGTTGCATCGTTAACGACAAATTCTTCGTCGGGTTCGTTGTATATTATGTATTTTTGTTCCGTCGGTACCTGATAAACGGTTATTCTGTTGTGCGTAGGTTTTTCCAAAGGAGTTTTAAATGTAAATGTGTTTTCCGGTTGATAAAGAAAAACTTTTTCCGTGTTAACCTCCTCCGATGTTATTTTTTCATCGTTTACCATAGTCGTGGAAGAATCTTCTTTGAAATCAGTTGGTGTAAATACTTCTTCCGTCGTTTGGAGGGTTGGTTTTTTATATACCATGCTTTGAGTCACCTGAAGAGTGTTTGGTACTTTCATTATTATCGTTTGCACTTTGTCTTCCGTTGTCGGATTTTTAATTTTCAACATTTGAGTTCCGGTTTCGATAGAATTTTGTGTGACTACTGGAGTCGTTGGAAATCTTGTTAAAATTGTTTGTGCGACCGATTGAGTAATTGGTTTTTTGGAAATTGTTGTTTGTGGTAATGTAGGAGTTACCGGCTTTCTTGTGACGTAACTCTGAGTTTCCGGTTTTGGTGATTCAGTGTTTAGCGTGATTCTTTCGGTGACGGGTTTTTTAATTAGGGTAGTTTGTGTTACTTTCACATTGTTAGAGGGATGTTTATTTTTCTTTTTATTTTTATTATTTTCTTTTTCGTCGTCGCTATCTTCCGAGCCTAAAATGTTTAAAATACTTTCATCAGTGTCGCTATCATCATCATCATCATCATCATCATCATCGTCATCGTCGTCGTCATCGTCGTCATCTTCATCTTCATCTTCGTCTTCCTTATTTGCATTTTGTTTATTCGCTTCTGTTGCGGTTGGCTTTTTTGTTTTCACGACGCCAGGTTTTTTATTTTTCTTTTTTACGGGAGCTTCGCCTAAAATTTGTGCAACTTCATCATCGTCGTCGTCCTCCTCATCTTCATCACTTTCATTTTCATTATCGCTTTCTTCGTCTTCTCCTTGTTCGTTACTTTCTTCGTCTTTGTCATCATCTTCTTCATCGGAATCCGGTTTCTCATTGTGTTTATTTGAAGTTTTTTTATTATTTAACGAAGTGTTAACTAATTTATTATTATTATTATTTTCTTCTCCGCTATCATCCGCATCCTCACCTGATTCGTTTTCATCTTTATCACTCCCTAATATTCCGGTTAAGTAGTCATCATCTTCGTCATCATCTTCTTCATCTTCTTCTTGTTTTTTGGGTGGTTGTTTTTTTACTTTATTAGATCCGACTTTATTTTTATGTTTGTTTTTCATTGTCGTGGAAACCATTTCTTGAGTACTTGAATTTTCATTTACGTCATCATCATTATCGAAGTTTACTTTATCATTATTTTCATCGTCATTTTTATCGTTGGTGGTTTCTTTGTCGTTCGTATCTGTTACTTTCGTATCGGGTTGAGCAAAAAATACAACTTTATTTTGATTGTTGATTGCTTGCGTGACCATGTCGGATGTTTGCTCGCTGACCATAACATTTTGTGGTAAATTATTTTTAATTTTAGTTACATCTTTTGGATAAGATGTGACAAATGAAGTCGGAACCACTTTGACAAAATTCATTTGTTCGGCATTACTTGATAGTTTGTGATTTGAAGTTTGCGGTGTGACTTTTTCATACTGTTGAGTTACCATTTCTTCGGAAGAATCCTTTAAGTTGTCCATAGCTAAAGAACTAGAAGAAATCAAACCAGATGTGACGCTTTGTTGTGCAATTGCAGCAACAGCTTCGATTTTCGTCAAATCTGTTTGAGGTATCTTGATGTAATTTTTTATTGTGTTTTTTTCGGGGGGCAACGTGAAAGTTACGGGTGGCTCTGTCGTCATCATCGACGGTTTCATTAATTTTTCAGTTGTCGTTTTTTCTTGATTTTTTTCGAATGTTTCCTTAGTGATGATGGACACGGATGAGTGAGAGACTGAAGAAGGCATTGAAGTAGTCTCGGGAGGAGTCGCCATAGTTGTAGTGGTAGTAGTACTTGTTACAATATTTGTAATTTTTGGAATCATGGTGGAAGTTGTTGCGACCGTTGATGGACGTTGAACTGTATTTACTGGTTTCCTTACTAAAACAATTTTATTTTTATTTCCGGTTGACGAAGTGATTTTAGTTATAGTTTGAGACGGACTTGCTGATACTGAATTTTGAGAATTTCCAATTTTTACTTTCGTCGGCGCTTTTGTAACTTTTATCAAAGGCTTTTGCGTTGCCGTGATTGGTCTTCTTCTCACTGGTAAAACGGGTGCTCTTGTCGTAGTCGAAGTTTTAACTAGAACTGGTTGCTGTTGATTATTTTTTATTTTTTTCCTCTTGACTTTATTACTGCTGCTGCTACTACTTCCGTCGCCGAAAAACGAACCTAGTAAATCTTCTCCCAAAACGCTAAAACCAGAGTAATCCCCTGAATCTGAATCCACTTCATTTTCTTCTTTTGAAGCACCGTCATCATCATCGTCATCATCGTCATCGTCATCGTCGTCAAAGCTGATTAAGTCATCATCATCATCGTCGTCATCATCGTAATCATCATCGTCATCATCGTCATCGTCGGGATCTTTTTTGTCAGTTTCAGCAGGAATCGGAGGCGCCGACTCCAAGTTAACTCCTTTCGGTCCAAATTTAAAGCATGACACTCTTAACGCAGCCTCGATATCATCAAGCGCTCTCAATTCAAGTCCTAAACAAGCTTTAAAGTCTTCTCCCGTTCTAGACACACCATAAACTCGTCCGCAAAATTGTGATATACCTCCGGGTAAAGACATACAAATAGGTTTAGGAGCTTTTCCACTTATCGTCGTATTGGTAAGGACTCTGTCTCCGAACGACAGCGTTACCAACATCGTGTCTTTTTGAGCGTACATGATCGAAGCACATCCTGGTCCTTTAACAGGTACGACCGGCAATGAAAAATCTCTGCAGCAATTACACATTTTATTTGTGCATGCGCAATATCTATTGGGTGGCCCTTGCCGAAGGACGGCTGTAGTTTTTTTATTGTCTTTGGCTACATATTTGGTTGTTATTTTCGAATCTGAAACATTTTTTATCAAACAATTAATAATCTACCAACCCTAAAAAAAAAAAAAAAATTTTAATTATTCTTACCAATATTTCTTGCAGCAGCAAAGGCCAAAAAAAGAAAGACTAGAAGTAATTTGAATACGACCGATAGCCGCATTCTTTCCCCGGGCCCCTAAAAAATAAAAAATATATTTATATTTATATATATATTAAAAAAACAGGTTCTCGTTTAATACCTTTGAGTAAAAAAAAAAAAAAAAAAAAAAAAAAACTTTTTTCTATTTATTCTAGAAATTCACGAACCAACCAATCAACGACTAACTAAAATTATAACTAAAAACTTATTAATTATTATAATTTTTTAAATAACAGTTTTTTTTTATTATAGTTATTAAAAAAAAAAAAATTTAATTATACGAACAGTCTACTTTTCTTTTAACGTTTTTTCAATATACAAAACCGGAAGTTTCGTTATCCATGTTAAGAGATTTAGAGCGGATCCTCATTTCACCTTATACGACATCACTTATTGAAAAAAACTTTCAAATCATATTTTTTTAAAAATATTCTTACTCTTACATATAATAATATATTAATAATTAATTAAATTTAAATAATAATAATAATAATAATGTAAAAAATGGAGAGAAAAAGAAAATCCGTTGTTGTTCGACCGTGACCTTAAAAGATATCCGCCAATATTTGACCTTATTACCGGTAAAAATTAATTTTTTTTTATTATTTTAAATTTATTAATTATTATTATTATTATTATTACTACGAGTTATTAAAATTTTTTATTAAAGGTTCTAAGGTTTAATAAGTTTTTTTTTTTTTTAAATAAAATTATACGGGCGTTAAAAAATAAATAAATAAACTCACCTGCTTCTTTCTGATTATAAAAAAATTATAAGTAACGATCAATTGATAAGTCTCATCGAGAGTGTTGCGTACATACAAACGCACAAAACAACAACAACAACAACAACCACAAAAAAAAAAAAAATTTCACTTAAACTGACTAACGTGAAAGTATCTATCCTCCAGGAGGATGATGAAGTGAGTTGTATAAAAAAACTAACAAGACTGACTTGGATTGTCGAATACAACAACATGGATACAAACTTTACATGGGTAAAGTCGGTCATCGGGTCCACGACGGTTTCTTTATAGCCGACTTATTGTTTTTTTTATTTTACTATCAATTTCAAACGAATAATAATAATACTAAAACGCACTCACGCACTCACTCACTCACACACGCACGTTACCGCTCCCATTGAAATTTTTTTTTTTTGGATCATCAATTATTAATTAAATTAAAACTAATTAATTTTTTTTAATAATAATAATTTAAATTTTCCAGATTTAATACGATTCCTTATCATTATTATCATCATCATCATCATAACCGTTAATTATTATTATTATTATTATTAAGAGAGAAAAAACCTCGTTTTAATTTAAAAGTTCTTTGAACTGGAGAAATTTTCACTTGTAAAAAAATTTAATTGATATCTGACTCACACACATACGCACACGCACGCATACACGCAGGTAAAAGAAAGTTATTATTATTAATAATTTTTTTAAATAAATATTTTAATAATGACGTCACTATGATTATTATAATAAATAAATATTTTTTTACGTGCGTTAAAATCGAAGACATTTTACTTAACCGGAACGCGGTTCGTATCGCGTTTCCATTTAAAAAAAAAAAAAAACCGTTATTTTTAAAAAATCGAATGAACCATCTTTTTTTTTTTTTTTTAAAAATAAATATATTTATTAAAAATACTCGTTATTTATTTATTTATAAATAATAATTCGTTTTTTTGTTTGTTTGTTTAAACAATCATTTTAATTAAACAACAAAAAAATTTCCCAGACATAAAAACCCTCGGAAAAATGGTGAAAAATTATTATTATTATTAATAAAAAATTAACCGCTATTTTCTCTACTAACAGGTAAACACACTTCCAAAACCGCTTTCCCTTTCTCTCTCTCTCTTAAAACGAGGCTAAAAATCGTGTATTAAAAAAAAAAATTTAGAACAAGTTAAAAATTTCTTTTGTCGGAAACTATAATTACTCATATTTTTTTAAATTAACCGAAACTTTTTCGAAAAAAACAATTATTATTATTATTATTATTTATTTCGATTTCTCGCGATTTTTTTTTTTTTTTCATAAGTTTCCGTTCTGTTTATGTCGTTGATAAAAAATTTTTTACAAAAAAAATAATTTTAAATAATAAACTGACATTAGTTTTTTTTCTCGAAGGGGTGGGGCGGTGGAAAAGGGGGTGGGGTAAAGGGTGGGAAGAGGTTGAGGGGTGGGGAAAAAGGGGAGGAGCACGAACAGTTCAAAGAACATAATATTGACATAGTCTCTCTCCGATCCATTAAAAAAAAAAAAAAAAAAAAAATTAATGAGAAAATTATTTTTTTCTTTGTAGTTGGTAAGAGAAAGTTTAGGTTTGTTAAAGTTCCGCCCACGCCCGGAAGTAGGTGACATCCTGACCTGGTTTAACATTGGATTTTTCATCGGCTTTCCAGTGGCGTATTTGGATGTTGACCCTATAAAACAATAAATTTCTTATATTAAAACATGATCGATACAAATCAATAAATTTTTTAAACTGTAAAAAAAAAAAAAAAATTATTAAACCATAAACAAAATCCCTGATTTTTAAAAAAATGGGGATAGTCGTTAGGGTATCTATGTAATTTTTCCACTAAGATACGGTCCTGTTTCATCATTAAATTTTTCAAACAAATATAATGAAATTAAGATCATTTTTATCTTTTACATTCTCTTTCTTACGTGTAATTTCCACGGAGTAATGATTTCACGGTTACTAACTGCAATTTAGGTACGTGCGTGTGTGCGTGTGCGTGTATGTGTACGTACACGGTGTGTGTATAAACTACATTGTAAAAACCCAGAAAGTAGGAATAAATCAAGTGATTCATTTCATTTAAGTGACATCAACGGACTCTCAAACTCGTTTGATTTTATTTTTTTGTTGTTGTTGCTGGAAATTGTAGTAATAAGAACAAACAGGGAGTAGAGCATTTGAAGTGTAGACACGTCTCGGATTTTTTATGAACTTTATATATATATTTATTATTAAACTATGTCTTTTAAATATTATTTATTTTTAGTGACGTGTGCCATTGCAGTGGGTACTGCATCCGGCAGCATTTTTGGAGGTGAGTTATATTATATTTCCCCTGTGTGTGCATACATATTGTGATTGGGATTTGTGTAAGAAATTTTTTTTTTTTTTTTTTAAACAGATATATTTAAATGGGATTTGATGAGCGCATTCACCGATGGCGATGATGACAATGAACCATCAAAAAGAGAAGAAGAAGAATCATCAATTCAAAGTTCTTGCGATTGTTATGGAATGAAATGTGATTGTTGTGTAGATTTTAATATATCAAATGTAATCGATTTAGGAGGACCAGGTAAATTGATTGATTGATTATTTTAAAATTTTTCCCATTGTTTCACACGTTAATTTGTTTTTTTTTTTTTTTTTAAGGTTGTGTCAATATAAAATATCTATCCAAAGAAGAAGGAGTTTTGTTAAATGTTTCTTATGGTGATAGCGTTTTACATAGTCAAACGGTAACGAATAAAACTAAAAAAGGTACATGTATGCCTTTGTTGAGTTATTTTGCTGAAATATGTGCTAGATTTTCGGATTTGAAAGAAAGTGGTGATGGTATGGTCGGTTGTTTGAATTTTGAACCAACTTTTTTGGGTGAAGTGACTGCTCAGTATCCTGTTGGGTGTTTTAACATGGGGCCAAATGGTATGACTGTTGATAAAACCATTGGTAACCTTACAGACACTGATGAAACATCTAAAGAAGAAGAAACGACGTGAGTAATACATTTAGAAGAACAACAACAACCTTTTGAAAAAGGTTAAAACTTAAAAAATATACATTTGATAATTTTTTTTTTTTTTTGATTTTCAGAACGCAGAGTTCTGAAGAAGATGAACAATCATTTATTGAAGCAGTTAATCAATCAGCACAAGAAGGACTTGAATTTATTTCAAATCTTTTAGGTATTGATATTAATCGTAAAAAAATTAATAAAAACTCAACGGACACAACTACAGAAAAAATAATGAGAGATAATAAAGGTGTAAAGATTGATAAAAATCAAAACAGTATTATTAAAAATTAAATTATGTATAGTTAATTTAAATAATTTTAATTAGGTTAATGTTTTGTTATTTAATATTTATTATTATTATTTATTTTTTGTAATTATTTTAGCTTAATTAATTTTTATTTATAACTAATTATGTCATCATTAAATTTTTTTGTTCCATTGAAAATTCAATAAATTGAACTGCTTAAACTTTTTTTTTATTTTTGTCCTTAAATAAATGTTAATTTTGAAAAAAAATCAATTTCAATAAATTAATAAACTAATATTATAAATAATAAAACTATTTTAACATAAATAAAATTTAAATTATAAATAATAAAACAATGTTTTACTCATATTTAAAAAAAGCTCACTTTAAATAAAAAAAAAAAGTGGCAGAAGACAAACGTGCGTAAACGTAGTAAATAACCTAAAATCAACTGTACGGTAAAGTTAAGTTATGATTTCATTGTGATTTTATTTATTTTATTAATTATTAATAATATTCTTTTAAAATATGAGAATACCAGGTTTGAACGCATGGAGAAATGCAAAAGTTGCCGAATTAACTAAAAAACATTCTAATTTACCAGAAAGATATATCAAGAAAACATTAGAAGAAGTAAAATTTTTAGTTTTTTTTTTTTTTTTGTTTGTTAATACTTATTTATTTATTTTACATGTTTTAAATAAGTAATTTTAATTTTCAGATTCAATATAAACCTCCTAAACTACCCAATTATAGACAAATATACATAAAAAGAATTAAAAATAATTTTACTATTCATGAACCATGGTCAATGGAATTTCAGACTGCAAATATTGAGAATGCTAAATTTAAAAAAGTATGGATTGAGCCTATTAAAGAATGGAGTGTATTCAGAGGTGACAGAGTAAGAAAAATATTTTCATTAAAAGATTTTCAAATATTGTTAATATATCATTATAAGATAGTAATAAGTATCGTAATGTTTGTTTATTTTAGGTTGAAGTATTAGTTGGTAAAGATAAAGGAAAACAGGGAATAGTTTGTGAAATAATACAGGAAAGGAATTGGGTTTTAGTCGAAGGTCTTAACACATACCTTAAATTAGTTGGAAAAACAAAAAATTTTCCTGGTATGCTTGTCAAAGCTGAAGCTCCTCTTTTAGTTACATCAGAAATTGCATTAGTCGATCCGAATGATTTGTAAGTAATAACGATTAATTGCATTTCGAATGTTTTTAGTAGAAAACTTATTCATTTTTTATACATAAGTTTTTTGAAATTTTTAAAAAGATTTTAATTAAAGTTCCAAAAGAGGTTAAAAAAATTCAAAAAGTTTTTTGTATTTATAGAAAACCTACAAAAATTTTATGGAGGTACGATGAAAAAGGAGAGAAAGTTAGAGTATCGGAAAGAACAGGTAGAATTATTCCGATGCCACTTTTAGAAGAGGAAACCTATGATTACAAAACGAAACAAACTTACCAAGGTAAATTATACATTTTTTGTTTTTTTTGTTTATTATCATTCTAATAACAATGACTGTGACAAACTTAAATGTTTAAAATTACATTTCAGAGAAAAAAAAGGACACAACAGCTAAAGAAGTAACCAAAATAACTTTTGTACCGACTCTACAAACTTTCGAAATGAGTTTAATGGAAGAATATAACATAGAAGAAAATAGAATTCCAAAAAAAGTTTATTGGTATTAATAGAATAGTAAAAAAAAAAAATAATAAACTGTTTTATTTATTTGTAAAAATGCTTAAGGAATAAACAAGAAAATTTTAAAAGGATTTTTTTCTTTTTTTTAAATAATTTTTGCAAAAAGTTATTATGTAGATTTAAAATTTTGTTTTTTTTTCCAAAAATTAACGTTAATTATTTATCCTTGTCTAAAATGTAAATAATTTAAAAAAATAAACCGACACTAACTAAACATTTTGATTTTATAATTGTGAGTTTATCAAATTGATTTATTTGAACGTACGACGTAAATCATTATTGCAAATTTTTAATTAACCCAAAATGTAAAAACGTTGTTCAATGACGTCATTTATATTCGATCATTAAATACGATATCAACAATAAATTGTTGTCAGTAAAGAATAGAAGAAAAAAGTTCTCGAGAAGAAAATTAATTAATAAAATTAAAATAAAATTATTATTATTATTATTAAAATATCTATTGTTATTATTATTATTATCATTTAATTTTTATTTCGTTAATGTACGATAAATGATATCGATAGAATATTAAAATTTTTTTTTTTTTTTATTTACCTGTGGGAAATTATCGGTTAAATTAACGAACAAAATTTTTATTTTTTTTTTTTATAGATAATAGTTTTGAAAATTTATTAAAAAGGAAATCAAAGGAAATTATTATTATTATTATTATTATTAGTAATAAATTATATCTAGAAGAGAAAAGTAATTTTCATATACATAATTTTTATTATTTATTTATTTATTTTTTTAATTAAAACTTTCTTACCATCTATTTATTTCATTCCACTTATTTATTTTTAAATATATATAAACACAACAGTTTTAATTATTATTATTATTATTATTATATAATTTCGTAACATTATTATTATTATTATTATCAATTTATTTAAATAAAATATTATTAATATAATTTTTTTTTTTGTTTTTTTGTTCTTATGCGGCTATAAAACGTTTTACACAAGTTTTAAATTACTTTTCGTACAAAAAGTCTTTTTATTATTATTATTATTATTGTTATTATTATTTTAAATAACAGAAAAAATAAAATTTTATTCTTTATTATTATTATTATTAAACTATGGTTTGTTAAGTAATAATAATTATTATATAAAAAAAAAATTTTTGTAAATTTTTACTTGAAAGTTTTTCGTTTTTTTTCAGTTTTTTAAACGCGAAACTTTTTTTAAAAAATTTAATTTATGGAAGTAAGGAAGGAAAAAAAAATTAATTTCGTTTTACGTCATTCAAAAACCTTTAACCCTCCCCCTCCCCCTTCCCTTATCCCTACCCTCACACCATCCCCTTGTCTTATCATTATCATTTAAATAAATTTCTTTTTATCAACAAAAAAAATAAAAAAATGTAACGTTTTTTTCGTAAAATTTGTATGTAATAATAATAATAATAAATCGATCGATAAATTATCGATCGATCCATAAATAAATAATAATAATAATATTTAACGTTTCATTGAAAAAAATTCCCCCCCCCCCATAATTTAAATTAAATATTAATTTTTATTTTAAAACAATTCAAATGATTTTATTTGTTTTTTTATTATTATTATTAAAAAAAAGTGGGTGAATGCGCGTGTTTCCATGCGTTCTCGTGTGTGTGTGAGTGAGATAAAAAATGAAAAAAAACCATCGTTGTTTAATCAATTAATTATAGGAGAGAGTGAGAGAGAGAGAGACGAACCGAAGAGTATGAAGCAACGTATTTTGAAAAATCTGAAACAAAAATTAATTATTATTATTATTATTTAAAGAACATTCGCGAAAAAAAAAATTTTAAAAATTTCGCGGTAAAAATTTTTAAATAAATAAACAATAAGAGAGAGAGAGAGAGAGAAAGGGAAAAACTTCAAAGTAAACTTTTGACACGTTTGTTTTTGTTTTGTTTTTTTCTCTCTCTCTCACATTTGGGGGTTCTCGTCATTCGTCATAGTTCCCTTATTTAAAATTTTGTGTTTGTGTTTGGTGTTTGTGTTTGTTTTGTTTTGTTTCGCTTTTTTTTTTTTTTTTATTTAGTTTGTTTTTAACTTTTAAAAAAAAATATTAATTTTTTTTTTTTTTTTTTTTTTTTAAACTGTTTAAAAATTATACGTTTGAAACATCAGAATGAATGAATGGACGACGACATCAAATGAATTTTATTCTTTGACAACAGATCATCATCATCAACAACAACAACAACAACATCAACAACAACAACAACAACAACAAACATCGGTTATTTATCGGTTCGTATATTGTTATTTAAACGTCATCTTATCAATCTCTTATCAATATTTTTGATATTAATAATTTACTAAAAAGAAAATTGTTTGTTTGTTTGTTTGTCTTAACAGTCAATATTGGGAAGACAATTGGTATCAACAGGGAAGAACAAATTTAAATCTAAAAAATAATACGATGAATTGTAAAACCAAAGATTGCCCAAGACAATCAAGTGCCGTTGAACAATTTTATGTAAATGAAGATATTGGAATTCCTCCTAATCCATATTCTAAAAAGAAAAAATTTGGGATTTCGGATCCGAGATTTAAAAGGTTTTCCCGCCCCCTTTTTCCCTCCCCTTCCCCCTTACCCTCCCCTTTCCCCCCATTTTTTTTATTCAAGTTTAATAATACCGATATTTATTGTGGGGTTTAACTTTTTATTTATTTTTTTAATTGTTTTTTAATCGTTTTAATATTAATCTCTTTTCCTCACCCCCCTCCTCACCTCCTCACCCTCATCTTTTCTTCTTCTTACAGAGTTTTAAATTCAGAAGTAAGAAATAATTACAATTCTGATATGAAAGTAAAAAAATCATCAAACGTAAATTTATTTACAAATAATTACGATAAATGTAATTTAAACAAAGGAATTGGAAACAACAACAACAAAATATTAGCAGAAGAA